CAAGCTGCTGCCAGCCCCGGTCCTGCTCCCGGGCCCCCCTCACCTCAGCGGGCCCCGCTCCTGCCCCGAGGGCCTCTCGTCCCGGTGTTTGTGCCAAAACAGTGCCAACCGTCGTCCGCTTTGATTTTTTTCCCCAGAGTGTCTTGTGTTGCTTTCGTCCCGCAGCGTTTGGTCTCAGGCAGCGCTCGGGGTAGGGGCAGGCGGAGCGCGGGTGCCGGGCAGCTCCCGCCGTGCGGGCAGCGGGGAGCTCCTGAGAGACCAGGCTGCTGCTGTGATGGATAAAATTAAACGGTGTCTTTTTTTAGGATTAAAAAAAACCCCAGTCTGCACAACCAATGGGTTATTTTCCTGTGGTTGTCCGTTCACCCTGTTGTTACTAAATTACTTCCTCATATTGCTCTTCAAAGACGTTTCCTCTGTGAGATAAGGAAAGTTGTATGAGCAGTGATATGGTTGTGCTAGTTATGTGCTGAATTTGTATTTTAAATTTAAGAAAAATCTACATTATGATCAGAGACTTGTCTGAAGATTCTGTACCTCTCTCTGTGTGACGATGTGAGGCATAAGCTAAATGTCTTTACTGCCTCAGGTCCTGTCATTTTTAAGAACTAAGAGATGCAGTGGTGTTTGTACTGATATTATCATAACAATTGTGGTAAGAAGCATAATTGTTGAAGGTCATGTATTTGCCTGCTTGGTATTTTTCAGCAGAGAAAAACATTTTAATATGGTTTCGTTTTAGTAGCAGTCTGTGTTCTGCTAGTAGCAAACTATTCAATTGTTTGTTATATTAATCTCTGTATATCTTTCTGATTATTGCCTTTGCTGAAATGGCTGAAGAGTTATCGTCACTCATTATGCTGAACAGTAAAGTCTTATTTTACGTTATGAAAGAGGGATTGCTACTGTTTAGATTTAATTATTCCCTTAAACCAGTGAGATCTGACTTGTGTTCTTCACTGTAAAGTACCTTCAAAGTAATGCCAAAGGCTGCTTTTCTTGATAACAGCCTAATTACAGGTGTTCTTTAAATATTTTGAAGTGAGAAGAAATATTAAATTCTAAATTATGTCGTGGTATACTTCAGTCTATGCTACTTAAACTGAGGCAGCGAGAGGTTTTCTTTTCAGTAAGGCAGTGTTAGATGGCTGTACTTCTTGAGAACTGTATGTATGATAAAGTCATGCATAATGACATATGTATGATAAACAGTCATGCATGATGACATACAGTGTAATTTTTTACAACAAGCAAAATACCTACTCCATCACGAAGCCATCAGCAGCCTTACGTACACGATTCTTCACTTGATCTGCATAGGTTAACATTTACAAGTTTGTAATGTTAAATCTACTTCTAGCCCATATTTGCTGTTAACATTAATTTTGAAAATATGAGAGTTTTCGTGTTCATGACCTTTAGAGAATTGCTGTCTGATCAATACGTTGAGTATCTTTTTGCTATGGCTTTATATTTCAGGACATTTCAAAAATAAAACCAAAATAAAGCACAAAGTTATGCTCAGCTAATAATGCTGAGTAACTTCTTTCTTCTGCAGTGCAGTGAATGGGGAAAATAATAATTATTTCCTTTTGCCTGTAATGAAAAAGTCTGTAGCTATGTTGTATGAGTTTTTATTTGACATTATTTTTTCTTTTTAGCTATAGCTTGAATTTAAGTGGCTGCAGCTCCTGAAGCCTCATAATGAATCCCCTTATCTTTGGAAGTGTAACAGGACTCCTTTTTTTCTAGTTACTAATTGTTCCATAGGATGTAGTTTTCGGATGTTTACAGAAAAATTGTACACCTTTAAGGTTCTGGGCCTCCCCAGGTTGTCCTTGGTCTCAAATTATTTTTTGCAGCAGTCACTGTATTGCAGCATCTTAGATAATTTACATTTTTCTGATTTAGTAATGTTTCACATATCTTTATTATCATCTGAGGCTCTTGAGATACTAATGTAGGTCTGAAAGTACTCCCACTATCCCAGAGTTATGTAGTCCCACCCACAGATGAGGACTCCAGGAAGTAATGTCAGGGATTGCTTTTGGTGATGTGGCAAAAATGTTTCTGTTTAGAATCCATTTTAGTATGTTTGTTTAGTTGAGCTTAATTGAAAAGAGAAATAAAGCTCTTAAATTGGTAGCAGAAGCATGTACTGAAAAATAATTCCCGTGGTTAATTTTTTACCTGAGTTCAGAATACTGGCCGCTTTACTATACGTTTTTCCTCACACACAAAACTTTTCTGTGACTGCTAAGCTCTTCCTGCTCAAGAGATAGATAAAGTCATGGAATAATTCTAGCAGCGGGGGCAGTGTTTTGGTTTAGGTGCTTATGGTAGTTTTTTGTCTGTAACCACTTGCATAGAGAGTCCTAAGCTTCCTCACTATCTAGTTACTCACTATTTAAAAATCCTAAGCAGCTTTTCAAAAAATATTTATTTTGGTTTTGTTCTTTGCCTTTAGAAACTGAGGTGACAGGAGGGTGGTGCTACAGTTCATATCTCTGCTTAGATGTTATAACTCAGCTCCTGCCTTCTCAAGGTGAAGATGTCTAACAAGACTCATTCCTACATTTCTGTATGGACCTGTTTTTTTTCTCCCTAAAATGGATTGGATCTTGTTTTGCCTTTGTAAAACACCCTGATCTTTGATTTATTGACAATTTATTTTGGAAGTTAATTTCTTTTGGAATAAATGTCTTCTCTTTAAGAATACTTCATTAAAAATAATCTGTTTCAAACAGGGCAATCCAAAAGAGTGTGATGTGTAAATGCTGGTTCAGATAATGTCCCGTAAAGCTTCTCTGGGCTTAGATTTTTGTTTTAAGTGTTACCTGTGCATGTTTTGTCACTGTGTTTTGTTTCCACAGCAACCATGTCAGAAGGGGACAGTATTGGTGAGTCTGTTCATGGAAAGCCTTCTGTGGTCTATAGATTTTTCTCAAGACTTGGACAGGTTGGTTTTCTGTAGGTTTTTTCTGACTCCATTAGAAGCAGGTCTCAGTGCAGCTTCTTAAACTCATTACTTTTTTGGATGAGTTGTTGAAATATTAAAATCTGTACAAAAGATTTCTTTTTGAGCCTGTTAAAAATAGACAGCAAATACTATAATACATAGCTTAACGGAATATCTAATATCCATATGTGTGGCATTGTCAAAAATTAGTGACTTCAGATTTCATGTCAGATTCATCTTAAGGAAAATAAATTTGCGTAAAATATTGAAAATTTAAATTGCTTTACGATGCCCCGAGCATTAGGAATTGTTTTTGTCTTTGTAAAAATAGACCTTTTCAAATGCTTATGTTTAATTAAGTTTATTTGTAATAAAGAATACAAATGTTTCATGTTACTGTCCTTCCCAAAATACCTTTCAGAAATGCTTACTACTTGTAAGGCTACCCTGTAATAAACATTATTCATTGTGCATTTTACAGATATACCCTTTATATTTCTTCCTAGATCTACCAATCCTGGTTAGACAAATCTACTCCATATACTGCAGTGCGATGGATTGTAACTTTGGGTCTGAGTTTTATCTACATGATTAGAGTTTATTTACTGCAGGTAGGAAAACTGGATTTACTCCTAAAGTAGTTTTGGATATCATTCCTGTTCTACTTTTTGTGTTAAGAGAGTTTTTGAAGTATGGTATTACTTTGGAATTAGATATTATGCCATTTAGCACACAGTAGAAAGTAAATTAGTCTGAAGAAAGAGCACATCTTGTTGGTGTTAACCTTACTGCTTCAGAATGGAGAATGTGCGAATGCTTGAGAATATTCACCTGGTGGCAACAGAAGATGGAAATACTCCATTAGTTCTGATAATAACCTCTGAAAAGTCTGCTGCAATTAAATTTTTACTTTTATTTTTAAAGCTGTGTAAGTGCATGTTCAGGAGCCAGTAGTTACCTTCTGTCTTCCAACCATAAAGAATTGCTTTTTCAGCATCTTTATCACTGCAGGCCGTTTCTCTACTAATCAGATGCCTCTATTGCATGCCAGTCTGTGGTTCAGTTAAGAGCATGAGAATTGTTATTCCCAAACCCTGAAGATTACAGGTTGAATGTGAAAGCTGTGCAGGTGATAGTAATACGAAGATTTAAGAGACTGAAGCCTGCAAAGATGATTAATAAAGTGATGGGTTTATGCTGTTTACTCCTTTTACGCTGCTTTTATGATGTCTACATCTTGAATATAGAGACCGGATGCCTGAGAAAAGCTTTCATATTAAATCTGTCGATATCTGAGGGATTTGCACGATTGTCATGTTCTAAGGCTTGTTTTGATTAATATATTACATTTACAGTAGTATACCTTAGAAAACATGGAGCTTAAAAAGGCTAATAGATTTATTTTTTTTTTACCTTGCTTATTTGTATTGCGGTAAGTTTAGTCAGTATTTAGGTAGCTTGAAATGAAAGCTGTTACATATGTTATCTGTCAGTACACAAATAAAAAGATAGATTCACAAAGGTGATTTCATCTTTTCATAGAGTCCGAATGCTTACTTTATACAGGGAGACTTTCTGATATTTTTTTAACAAGTCCAGAAAACTTTTCATGTTAATGTGAGGATGTAGAAAAGCACTTCTCAAGGAAGCAAAAAACCAGGTTGTTTGACCTTGTTGAAAAATCAGTATCTGAAAACGGTTTTCAGGAAGACTTTAATCTTAGCTCTTTTTTCCTCCCTGCTTCAGGGTTGGTACATTGTGACATATGCCTTGGGAATCTACCATCTAAATCTCTTCATAGCTTTCTTGTCGCCAAAGGTAGACCCCTCTTTAATGGAAGATTCAGGTATGGTGAATAGTTCATCGTGCGATAATTTTGAACTTTGATACATACAGTAGTGTAAATTGTATTTTTAGACTTGCAAAAAATCTGTACAGCTTGACATCAGAAGTTACTGTAAAGTTTGTCTCTCTCTTTTTTTCATTACTTGAACATATTCCATATTGTATTAGTTTTCTGTGTTTTGAAGGAAGATTTATGTGACTTAAGTTCTCCCCAAAATAACTCAAGTGACCTGGCACTCATTTCTGTTATCTACTGTCTTTTGGGAAATCAGTGTTAAGTTACACTAGAGCAGCCACTATAACTGGAATTTACGTGTAACAGTGAAAATTTTTCTTTTTTTTTTTTCTTAAAGATAAAAAAATTTTAAAAATTGGAGTCTGAATAGTGTGGAAAATTAGCGTGAGGGGGTTTGTGGGTTTTGGTTTCTTTTTCTTTTTTTCAGATGATGGTCCTTCCTTACCTACAAGGCAAAATGAAGAATTTCGGCCTTTCATTAGAAGGCTCCCAGAGTTTAAATTCTGGTGAGTGGATCTGTCTGCTCATGCTCTGTTTTTGAAAAATATAAATATCTGTATCAAATCAGTGGTAGCTGGGGTTGAAGGATTAATTGTTCATATTATTTTTAAGGCACTCTGCCACTAAAGGAATCCTGGTTGCTATGGCATGTACATTCTTTGAGGCTTTCAACGTTCCTGTTTTTTGGCCAATCCTTGTGATGTACTTCATTATGCTATTTTGTATCACTATGAAGAGGCAAATCAAGGTAACTTGCCAAGAATAGATAGTAGCATTTGTGATGTCAGAATTTACAGTATTGATCCAAACTGTCCATCCAGGTGAGCCCTTCAGAAGTATTAAATGTATTGCACATGCTTCTTTACTAGAGGAACTTTAACAAGTAACACTTGAACAGTAGTTCGTTGAACATTAGTTCAAATGTTGCATATTTGCAACTTGGAGCAAATAATGACAACGTGAAACAAAAATACTTGGTAAAAGAAGTCTTCATATACTACATTACAAAATTTTATGCTTGCTTTCAAAAGGTTTCGATCTTAGAATTCAATATCTGGTTTTTATACAGGATGAGTTTATAATTTCTCATCTGCTTGCTTTCTTCATTTGACTATGGCTATTTTTAATGAAGAGGTCTTGTAGGATCTCTGATGGGTGAAAAGGGAAGTTCTGACAAGTCAATGCGAGTAAGTAGATGGAGAGGAGGGGAAGAACAACTTAGGCAAGCCATTCAGACCATTTTTAACAAGTTACTTATGGCTTGTTGGCATTTTAGAAAGAGAACCATTTCATTCCCAGACATTCAGAATTTTGGATAGGTACTGTTATTCAAAGTTGTAACTTAAAGATTATTAAAAAATGAATACCTGTATGCTCTCTCCAGTTTCCTGTGATTCCCCTGATCAGTAATCTTCACTGTACTGTAGAAGTTGTTGGGTATATCCAAATTCGAGATTTATAAGATTGGGCTCATACCCCTATTTCGATGTAAACTGGTGTATAATTAGCTACTTCATTACCTTTGCAATACTGAAGAACTGCCTTTCTAGAGGACTTTGTAGTTTGTAATATCTATTACAAAACTTTTTTGTAAAAATTAGATGTTTCTTGCCTCAAAAAATTATCTTTTCTCGTTACAGCACATGATAAAGTACAGATATATACCCTTCACACATGGCAAGAGGAAATACAAAGGGAAAGAAGATGTGGGAAAGACCTTTGCTAGCTAGAAGATGCAATCAACCTGTTGACCAATTCTACTTCTAACTAAAGGAACGATTTTGAGCCATTGTAACAATGCCTTTTTTCTTCATAAAAAATGATTAACAGAGTGGTGACAAAGCAGTTGAATTTTCATTTTAAGAGGATCTTGCTATTTTTATCTGAAGTATCAGTTTCTTGAAGAAACTGGCATTCTAACCAAATTGCATTGAGTTTATCTTTTGTAAGAAGTTGGAGAAACTTCGGATAATCCCATGGATTTGGGATAACGTATTTCTTACAGGATCCATTGCACTGGAGAGATCAATGGCTTAGAGTTGGATATTTTTACATAGTTCTCCTGCTCAATATCACCGTGAAGTGCTGTGCACATATGTGGAGGAAAAATGTAAGATGGCACACATGATGCTGTTTTCTGCTTCATGCCCGTGTGCTGTTTTCGTAGAAAAATACAGTAGACCTAAATAGATGCAGAACTTAAGCCAGTTTCCTAAATGCATGGTATTACTGAGTTATAACCAAACAAATATAGGTAGGAATAAGAAATCTACTAAATCATGGGTTTTGCAGTAGGGAAAAAATACTCATATAGCTTCTGAAGTAACTCATTTGTGTTGGGTTTTAATGCCAGTTTCACCATTACATCTCCGAGCAGATGCTAAAATTGGGCTCTTTCACGGTGACTCAAAACTTTGTTCAAATTCTATCACGATTTCCTTTGAGGACCTGGAATTATAAAGATATATATTTTAATTGTTATTAGTTGGAGTTTCTTTCATACTTAAGGGTTTCTTGATTAATTTAAGCTGACTTCATGCAGCCCCTTCAGAATATCCCCAAACTGGCCATAGCAGACAAACGGTGTGGGTTTTAACACAGCTTTTCATTTTCTATGGGGAAAAAAAAAAAGAAAAAAAGAAATTACCTGCATGTAAACTTTTTCATGTGATACAACTGCAGTTTTATTAAGTGACTTTTTAATTCCAAAATTTATTAAAAGACAGTGTCCCCCTTTACTTGTTCTCTATCTTTATATACATATATTTATCTAACAGTATTTATGGCTCCTTTTCAATAATGGTTACCCTCAATTTATCTTCATGCAATGCCTTTTTCAACTCTTCAGGGAGCATTCACTTGCAGAAAGTAGGAAAAGATTAGCTCTTTGAAGATGGAGAATAGTGGCAACTTCCAACAGGCACCTCATTGGAGAATGTATGTAGGAATCCTTTCATCTGGTTTTGTCAAGTCATTGTGGAGCTCTGGAATCCAGCCTTCAGTAATCCTGGGAAAATGACAGGTAGTTTTAGTTCACATTGACCTGTTGCTTTTTGTTTGTTTGTGTGTGTTTGTTTTATTAGCAGTGTGGAAACTAGTATAGTCAAAATTCAAAATTATGGAAACACAGTGTCCAGAAAGGGCCTTATAAAAGTACCAGTCATGGATGCCTGCAGTTCATTGCCTAAACATCTGAAAGCCCTGACTTGGAGAAGCTGTCTTCAGGTTTGCTGGGGTTTCTGAATAATGTGGGCAAATCAGGGAGAAAAATACGATGTTTATTAATGTTAACATTAGCAACTGGGATGAGTCCTACTAAACAACAGAGTATTAATGACATACATTGCAAATTAAACATTTTTACCTCCACGTAAATTTGAACTTCAGTGGCAGTTTGAGATTAATGCCCTCTCATTCTTAGGTAGGCATTCAGTGGGATTAAGTTTTCAAATGTGGATGGTAGATGAAGTTGGCACAAAGCTATACTCCCCTAGCTAACTCTCGGCATCCAACGGCCAGACAAATTTGATGGCATTTTGTTAAACTTTGCTTTATTTTTATCAGTTACCAGTGCTAAAAATAAATTGCCTTTACAGAATGCACAAAAACCTTAGCCTGACAATATCACAGCTACTTCCCAGTCATCAACTCGTTCCTATTTGTTTTTATGGGCAACTAAGTGTTATTCCTTACTATTTTCTTAGTAAGGAGATCAGGCAGTGATTTCCTTAGGTAGTCATGTTTTGATTCGTGATATGGACCATTTTTCTTCCACTGTTGCCTTGACAGTTTTGAATAGGTGAGGGATGCCTGAAAGTTTTCTGGTGTAAGAACGGGATGGTATTGCATCTCTGAAAATCACTTTTGTACAGTAGTGATGAAGTGTTCACATAGTTACTAGCAACTATTTTTTCTGCCATTTATAGATAGGATGAAAAGTTAAACTAATTTTACTGGAGTTTTTATAACACTTGGAGATCTGTTAACTAGCTAATTGGGATCTCTGCAGTACAAATAACCATCTTGAAAGAAGTGCTCTTACAGTAGCACGCCTCCCCCTGCCACCCCAAGTCCATATTCAGTGCCAGTTGTGAAAGGTTTATTGAAACTGTAACCCATGATCCACAGTGTGGATTGTCTGGCTTTTTCTCCCCATCTGTATTTAGAGAATACAAATAAATTAATCTTGTACATTTTTCTATCATGCAAGAATGACAAGATATGTTAACAACTAACAATCATTTTCCCTGCTGCTCCAGATACTTGTATAACTGAACCAATAACTTCCAGGAATAAACCTTGACAAGGTGGTGCTGCCAAATCCCTCCTCCTTTATACTCTAAAATATCGGATTAGCTGAAATAGCCCCTATTGCCATAAAGAGGGGAGAGGGTCTTGGGGCTGGTCAGCTTCTTCCCTATCTGTGTTAGACTGTAGAAAACACCACACGGAGAAAACTTAAATTGTGCAATAAAACTAACGCTTTATAGTTGAGCTTAGTTTCTTAGTATACATATTAGGGCTTTTTTGAAACACCACTTGTTACATTGCTATAGTCTAACTGTCTAGCATACTTGACGAAGAGTCTTGATATCTAATAGTGATAGAAAAGCTTTGAGTTTGGCAGCTGAATGTTACTTACCAGCGTGCAGAGTAGTCTGCACTACTGTGGGTTTGCGTTTGTTGCCTCTGTTGATCTAAGGGACATTCACAGTTTGTTAAGGAAATCTGCTTTATTGTTAACCTTGTTCTGAAAACGGAGTGGTACATGACATCGTCAGAACTTGAACTTCAGTTAAACTAAGGATTTGTGTACAGCTTTTATCCTTTTCCCCTGATGTCAACAGTATGGGCTCATTATTATGTTAAAGGAGAAAGGGAGTCTTGGAAATTGTAGAATTTTACTAATACCTTAAGCATGTTATGAAAGGTTGGAAGACTCGTTATCCACACTTAACATCTAGAGAATGAGAATCTGATTTAAATTTTTCATTGTCCAAAGTGAAGAAAGCTATTACATTTGTGCTAAGCACTTTATAGAAAGTCACATTTTCAATATGGTTAAGAACCATGTTAGAAGAAACAGAAGAGTAGAGGCAAAAGTAGATTTATTCTGTAAAACAGGAATGAAGTGCCACCTTGCACAAGCAGTTACCAGTTTTATAATAAAGTCTTTCTTGGACTAACTCAAGCTGTATGACAAGTTTATAAATGGTGTAAGAGCTGAGGCCCTTGTTGTGAAACAGAATAGATTTTTCCTTTACAGTTGATAGTGACGTAGGTAGATCAGTTTCTGAGGATGAAACTTCTCTCTGCACAGTGGACACTCTGTCTACAAAAAGAAAAGAAATTAGATAGATGTACTGAATTGTGGGATGTAAAAGTGGTGGCAATGCTACTACTTCAGTTAATTTTGCTAACAGGTAGAATCAGAAAAAACTACAGTTAGAGCCAGTATGAGGAAACATTTATTCATGTACGCTAGAAGTAGTATTTAAAGATACTGACTGTGGGTTACAAGATACTCTTAGTTCTCTAAATCAGAGCTCTTCAGTTTTTGTACCTTTGCTTGGTGAATCCAGTAGAAGGGTCAAAGGGTTTACTAGATCAGCACATTCCAAAAGACTGAAAGTTACTAAAATGGTAACAATTATTGTCAGTTTTAAGAAAAAACAAGCTTAAGTCTCTATCTGAAAGAAAAAAAATCCTGTACAATTCATGTTGAACTCCCCTCCGAGCAGTAAATTAGTCACCAAGCCTTTTTAGGGCAAAGCATAAGGTAAAGATGCAATTATAGTGAATGGATGTTTTCGGATCTGAAATACCACTGTGTGATATGCATTTTTAATACTGTCTGCCTACAGATATGTGCATCTGGGACAGCTTTAGAGTGGAAAACAGTGCCAAAAATGGCCTAAAATAAATGTCCCCTAACAGATACAGCTCTATTGTCAGCTAGTACTCCCATTGAAAACTGACAACTGAAATTGTCAGTAGCTTTCTAAGTGTACATCTGTTATATTCAACTTTCTATTGCCTCCCCATTATTTGAAGAGACTTTAAGCAGGGAGTCAGCAGGGCAATTTCTAATGCTAACTCATTGTTAAGTTCTTCCAACAGCATTCAGGCGTGACTGACAAACACTGGCTAGGTCTTCACAAGCAAATCTGAAGTGACTTTTGATGTTTCCTCATTCATGTCAGGGTGGCATTAGGAAGGCACTAGCTCATCACAAGCTGCATTCTAGTTTGTGTCTTCAAATGGTCTACCTATCATAGAACTTGATAGCTTGCATAAGTATAACCTTGGTGCATTTAAATACGGGTCTTTGACTTAGGCTATATTGATTTTAGTGTCAGTGTCGGTTTTGGATCTTAGGGAGATTCTCTGAGAAGTTGTATTTGCTTGATTCTGTTCCACCACAGCCATACTAGTACGAGTGTAGGAAAAATTTAAGTAGATCACACCGCTCATTTCTAAAGGAGCTGCAATAATACATCTGAGTTACACCACAGATGTAGCCTCTATGGCAAAGATTTTATTTGTAAGTAACACTTGATGCTTTTTTTTCTCACAAGCAGCTTTCACTCTTTAGAGACAATAAATGGACAACATCTTATTCCACGATGTCTATACAAATCCTTAATGGATGAAAATTCTGTTCTATTTCATTAATCCAGAGCAAAAGCCAAGTTTAAAATAGCGTGCATAAGAGCTTGCTCAGTTTTCTTGTAACTTACTTATTCCTTTTTACTGGAAATCAGGTGAAGAAGGCTTCAGAACATTACCACTTTTCTTGTTTCTCTGCAGTCAGAATTATTGCCTTGGTCTGCAGATGAAGGAACTATCTTCATGTCTGACTTCCACAGTAGTCTGATTGCATTTCAATGTTTTGGATAGAAAACTGCTCACCTTATTTACCTCACCTATGTAATGCTACAACACCTATGTCATTCTATTCTAGTAATGTATATATAGGTCCTGCTAAACTCTCATGTGGGGATTTTGGGTGCCTTAGTGACAGAAAGGGTATTATTTCAACACCCAGGCTGATGGGTATTTTCAAGTAGAAATTTCATAACGTTTACCCCTTCCAGCCTCCATTTGTCCTTCTGTACTTACTCTGGTGTTACACCACTCCGTGATGCATTCCCAGCAGAACAGGTGACCACAAGGTGTGGCTGTCGTATGTCTCCGTTCTTCCAAACACAAAGTGCAGCGGGAGTGGCGCCCAGGAGTTTTTTCCTTGGTCGTATTTCTAGTTAACATAGTTATATATTACTTAACTTTATTTAGCCTGCTTCTAAGAAGTACTTGATAACACAATCCTAAAGTAAACCTCATCTTCAAGTATTAACCCTTTCTGTGAAGATCTCAAAAACAAGAAAGCAAAGCATGAAATCTGGGAGATGCTTAAAACAAGAATGCGTCAAATGTTACA